TAAACATACATAGGATAAAGGTTACCGCCCCTTTTTTTGCGCTATAAAGCGGCAATATATTGCCGCTTTGATATTGGCGGCTTATTTTTTTTATATGAGGATCAAAATGAAAGGAGCCAAATGGTCATAATATTTTTAGTATTTGTTTGATAGTAACTATCAAACAAATACTAAATATATTAGGCAACTGTTGCAGTTGACGGTAGCAAAGTTTAACAGTAGTCTACACAGTGCATGACTTTGTAACCAGCTTACTCTCTAAACTAGAATTACCTAGTCAAAAATGACTAATTTAATAGTTATTAGTAGCTGCTTTTTCACTTGTACCTTGGTTAACCATGGAATACCATGGTATCGCCTCCATATTCGATTTTTGTTTACGATCTTATGGTGTTATTTACAAGTTTTAACAAACATTTTTTTAAAAACAATAAAAAATAAGTTATCTAGTTTACGAAATATCAATTATTACTTATTACATACCTTAAATTAATGAAATTTTCTTTAAAAAAATATTATTAAATTTTGACACATACGTCAGATTTTATGAATTGTCAAATAGTTTCCTTTAATTCGAGAAATAATCTAGACGTATATCACTCAACCTATAAATTTAATAAGTAAGTTTTTTTATTTGATTTTTCTTTTTGGAAAATAGTTTCATGCAAAATAATTAAAAATAAAACCCCTCGACCGCTACGCGGTCTCGTGATTTTATTAAATTATTTTGCATTCAACATTTTCAAAGAAAAACCAAACAAAAAACTACTGAGCCTAGTTTAACCGATTAAATTCATAGTTCTCGTGATATAATATATGAATATTTTTTGTGATTTTCTTTGTTTGGTAATTTAATAAATATTTAATATACTTAATATAAGCGTTTTTTTTTAAATTTTCAATTACATATTGCCAGTTTGTCGCAAAATATATATTTTTTAAATTTAAGGGCTTAAAATTAAAATATTTAATGTATTATATTTAAATATAAAAGGGGCGCACCAACGAATGCTGCACGTAGGCGCCAGACACCCCAGGAACGGGCCTGTTCATATGTCATGGAAATTCAACTAACATTGAAATTCAAGTTTCATTTAAATACAACTAGAATAGAAATAAATTCAAATTAATTCATGTTTCATTAAAATAAGCAAGATATTTTTAAAACACTTTAAATGATGCACAGGGTGCTGGGTTTAATAAAAAGTAAAACGGCGTTCCATAAACAAGCAACAGCAAGTTTTTATCGAATTTTACTTATTTTCGAGAAAATAAATAAAAACCTATTTCTTGCTTGCCTCGGAGACAAAAAGAAAAAATTTAATTTAAGATTTTTCAAAAAGTAAAATTATTAAATAAACTTAACCATTTTACAGCTAATAAGCATACCAGGTTTAATGGATAATTAAAGGTATATATACATTTTACTTACAGAAAACATTTGGTACTTGGCCATTGCAAGACCTTATCATGACAGCCTGTTATAAAAATTAATATTTGTATTAAAACATTCCTGTGAAGGCCCAATACAAGAAAAGCTTTGGCTAAAAATGCCATCAGTAAGCCATGGAACTCCGTAATGTGGATATACTTATTCGCCCCCTGTATATTGCCCTAGTCAATTCAAAAACCATAAATCCGAGAAATTTTACTATAGGACGATATATTCTCATTACTCGAGTAATAAGCATGTATACAGAGGAAGGAATAAGTCATAAAGATCTTCATAGTAGCGGTAGAGAATGTGAACGTCAAATTTAAAAAAATATGAAATTTATTAATTTTCTATAATATAAATATCGTTATAAGTTAAAATTGGCTTTACTTGAGAAAAAATTATAGTGTTAACCTCGCGTGGAATCGCAATTGAGGGGCTCGGTGCAAGGGTATATGAAGATTAGGGTGGCCCAAAAAAAAAGAATATTTTTTTTCTCTTGTCTCTTGTTAAAATATGTTGGTTTGTCATGTTTTAAGAGCCCTGTCAAAAGATCAGCTCCATTAAAAATTTTTTAGGGGTCGCTCAAGATTTTTAAAAAATTTCCAAATCGTCAAAAATTGGATTTTTTTTTATTTTAATTTTTTTTCTCGTTCCGATATTATTTTTTAATTTAAAAATAATAATGAGTCTGAAAATATCAAATCGATATTTTGATTTCTAAAGGTCGCTCAAGATTTTTTAAACTTTCAAAGTAAAGTATTTTGAATGTTTTTGAGCGACCTCTGAATATAAATATCAACGAACTTTTAGCGACCTTTAGAAATCAAAATATTGATTTGAAATTTACAGAATTTTTATTATTTTCAACCAAAAAAATATCGAGACGAGAAAAAAAATTAAAATAAAACAAAAATTCAGTTTTTGACGATTTTGAAAATTTTTAAAAATCTTGAGCGACCCCTAAAATTTTTTTAATCGAGCTGATATTTTGACAGGGCTCTTACAGCATGATAAACTAACATATTTTTACAAGAGACGAGTAAAAAAAATATTCTTTTTTTGGGCCACCCTAATGAAGATACACCCTTCAGTAGTCCGCATTGTTCGTTGCACAAACCGTGTATATCTATAGATCCACGTTAGCGTTAACTAAATATATTAGAATCTGTATCTGATACAGGAGATAGCGCTGAAATTATATTGTGCAAAATAATTTTTAACAAGGTTTTCCTTTTCTCCTGAACATTTTCCGAATATGGAGATACCCGGTTCTTGCACCGAGCCCCTCAATTACTTCCTCGATAAATTTCTTTCCTCGCCTATCGGCTGTTCAGAAAAAAAAATTATCGGGAGTAATTGCTAAGATTCCACGCTCTGTAAGTCTTTTATCTATGCGGTAAACAATATCCCTATGGGATGTTTGTGCTGTGTTGAAAATTGTTTTAATTTGTCAAGGTATGAAAAACCTGCAAATCAGTCATTTGAAATACCATCATTAAGTTTATAATAAAACGTGACAGTGTAATGACTACACCAAAGATCTTACAATAGACTGATTTTACATTGGTGATGACCAAATTAACATCATTACAGTTTACGTATTCTGCTCCAACGACAGAAATAGTTATTAGTTCATAAATTTACTCACTGTTTTAACACATTTGACAGATGCACAAAATAATAGAGGTTACAAAAATACCTTCTTTATATCTGCTAAGGACGGGAGGGGAGATGCGCAGAACTTAATTTTGCGTTCTCGATCATCGTACACGTCCGACGTTCTTAGGGACGAATTTATATGCTCCTGAATATAATCTTCTTAGGTATACCCCTCGGTAATTTCTAAAATACCAAAAACTGTGTGCGTTCTAATTAATTCGTTTTGTCTCAACGCATGTACGATTAAAAACTTTATTGCGAGCTTCTTGCATTGCCTGAGAATTGCGTCATGTAATGCGGCTTTAAAGCTATTAAAATATTCCCCCTTACCTGTTTTAAAATCAGAAATATGGTAATTTATGTTCTTGTACAGTAGACTGTCAAAATAACTTTTTTTGTTTTAGAATAACTACATAAATCATTTTTTTAAATTTTGTTTCTCACTACCTTATAGGAAATTTAGTTCTCTACAAAATTGTCCCTATGCATTTTTTGTCTAAACTCATCAGAAACAAAGTTACATAGCGCTGAATAGGAGAAAAAAAATCGAATATTACAGTCGATAAAGTTGCTATGTAACTTTGTTTCTGATAAGTTTAGAGAAAAAATGCATAGGGACAATTTTGTAGAGAACTAAATTTCCTAAAAGGTAGTGAGAAACAAAATATATAAAAAAAATTGTTCATGTAGTTATTCTAAAACAAACAAAAAATTCCCATGTATTTTAAATTGGAAAGGGGACCCCCCTTTGTGCCAGCTCAATTTTAGAGATATTAATCTGAAACTTTAGGAGAATTTTTTTTAAATTGATGAAACTTTTTAGATATACACTTCTCCAAGCAATTAACGCACCTCCGAAAAACAACCAAAAGTTTAAGTAAATTTTTGTCAAAACCAATTGTCCGATTTAAACATTTTTTTTAATAATAAGTTGTCCCTTTTACAATGTTGGTATACTAACTGTATTTCGATAGAAACCTCTTTTTACAAATACCGAGTGTAGCAATTATAGCGTGTTTTTTCATAAAATTTGTAGAGTTAAACAGGTACAATATCAAGTTAGAAATCAAACTTAAGCATTATCTTTTTTTTACAGTTTGTTTTTTATTTACTCCATTATCTTCCATATTACACTAGGAAAAACATTTTATAGGATAACGTTCAAATCGGACAATTGGTTTTGACAAAAATTTACTTTTGGTTATTTTTTGGTGGTGCGTTAAATAGAGATGCCAAAACTCTTCAATTGGTAAATAAAGAGGTTTGGAATTGACCAATCCCAGTGGTAATTTCAAATATTCAAAAATGATGTGAACAAGCCTTAACATTTTGACATGTTAAGACTGACAAGCTTTGTCAAAAAACATTAGAAGCCTACACAAGTTATACAAAAATCTTCCCAAGATAAGAGGGCGCTGGAGTTGTTTATTAATAAAAAATATTTGATTTGTACCGAAACGCTACCAAAACAGCAGACGTCAATACGCATCAACAATCAGCGCCCCTGTTGGTGAAAAAAAAGACTTAATTTGTCCAATTTGGAGGGCAGGTTTTGTCATTTTGAGGCTCCAGTTGGGGCTCCTTGTGTAGGCTCCATAATTAGAATTTTTGAAACTTTTGGTCAGTTTTTCTTGTTTTTTCTTCTAAAAATGAATGAAATTGCCAGAGTTTATCAAGACCAATTTCCCATGAGGATCAGACAAAGCTTGTCATCTTAGTGACAACAAATAATTAAACTTTAACATGTCAAAATGCTAGGGCTTGATAACATCATTTTTGTATATTTGAACTACCACTGGGATTGGTCAATTTCAAACCTCTTTATTTACCAAATGAAGAGGTTTTTCAATTTCCTGGTGGGCCCGAATTGAAGACCACCCTGTTAAAATAAACATTTATTTAAGTTTGAATAGATTTGGTTGTAACTTATATTAAATAAAAAACAAAACCTGACATTTAAATAAGAGCAAATGTATATATCTCAATAAAAATATATTATAACAATATATTGATGTCAACTAGGATGCACTTTATAAATAATATACAAAATATAAGAGAAGTAAAACGAAAAATTATACTAATTATTCACACAGGTGCAACTATTAACTTTTTATTTATAATCGTTTTAATGCAAATAATTGGGTATTATATTCAGTTACTATTGATCCGAGTTTAGTTAATATTGATGACAGTTTATAGCTGAAATAATTTACTTGTGAACATCAGATCTAAAACAAAAAATAAATAAATTGTGTTTAAAACACAATTTCTAATTGTCAATTTGGTACTTACACCATCAACAGGATCTGCCTCGTCTGACGAACTAATATCATCACCAAACTCAATATCTTCATCGAAACCTTCTTCAACAAACGTAACTGTTTCGTTAATTCTGACAGATTCTGGGAATTCTCCATATGTTTTTAAGTTCCTAGCTTCATCTGGTGTGTATTTTAGGATGACATCGGCTTTGGCATCTTGGTAATCTCGCAAACCAATTAAAATTATATCACCTTGATTAATCCATACCTAAAAACATATTTTATTAATAAAGTTTCCAAGGGTTCCCACTATCTCCACCAATACAATTTGTATGTTAATGATTTGCCAGAAATCTAATTTTTTATTTGCAATCATAATAAAATATGACTTGCCTTTTGTTTTTTCTTATAAAAGTACATAACATTTTTTTATCAATATAAAAACATTGTATAAGGCTTTGTTACACGTTTAGATATTAATTACAGAAAATTTAAGTAAAATTTATCCAAGAAAGGTGTTTCCGACCAAAAATTATAAAATACCCAATTTTACCCGCAAGAGTAAAAAATAGTTATTTTTATAAATTTTCTATCGCATTCACTCTATTTTGAAAAATGAATTGAATTTTTAATTAATAAAGAAAAATGGTAACAGGATATAACAAAATAATTATGTAAATTTAGTAATATACAATATTTAAAAAAATCTTTAGTTGGTAGTTTTTAAATTAAAAAAAGTAATTTAAAGTCATGATTTTTTTCAGCCCTGTAGTAAAAAACTAAATACTGATGTGTGCAAAAGTCCATGGCTAAATTCATTCGTTTTTGAGATAAAGGCATTTTAGGACAATAAAACACATTTTAAAATTGAAACTAAAAAAGTGATGGTAAAAATATTGGCTTAAAGATTATATTATGTGACTTCTTAGAAAGGCTGAAACCAAAAGAAAAAATAATAAAATAATTATGTAAATTTGGTAAATATACAATATTTAAAAAAATCTTTAGTTAGTACAGTTAGTTTTTAAATTAAAAGAAGTAATTTAAAGTCATGACTTTTTCCAGCCCAAAACGTTCAGTCCCTGTCTAAATTAACTCGTTTTTGAGATAAAGAAATTTTAGAACAATAAAACACATTTATACTATAAAATTAAAACTAAAAAAGTGATGGTAAAAAAATTGGCTTAAATAATTATATTTTGACTTCTTAGGAAGGCTGAAACCAAAAGAGAACTTTTTGAGATTTAAAACTCATTTTGCAAAAACTTTTTCTACAACATGGTATATATCGTTTATTCAAAACAACAATGACACAACTCAAAAATCACAGTTTTGAGAAAACGCAACAACAAAATATTTGAGCCCAGCTTTAATAGGTATTTACAGGGCTTGGTAAATGGATTGTTGTTTCAAATGCAATTGTAATTTTGTTGCAAGAATTAATTTTAAAGCCAACAGTTTTTTGAAAATTTTTAATTTTATAACATAGATTTAATTTTATCGTAAAAATGTGTTTTATTGTCCTAAAAATAACTTTTGTAGATATAGACTGTTTCAAATTTCCAAAATTAAAGAAAATTTGTAAATCTAATAAATTGCCAAAGAAACTGAAGCACATAAAACAAAGTTTTGATCCAATTAGACTAAACCACCCATGGTTTTTGCTAAAATAGTAAATGTATGCCATGTCAAATATTTATTCAGAAACAATGTCTTAAAATTATTACATATCGTAATAAATAAATTTCTTGGAATTATTAAAATTAATTATTAAAGAATATGAAACCTTCTCAAAACAGAAAGACATTCAGCAAAGCAGGTATTGAATCCTTAATCTTTGAAGGCATTCCAAAAAAATAGAAAATACCCATGATTTTTAAAATAATTTTAAGAAACAAGAAAAACGTCAGCCTTTTGGATTTTACAAAAATAGTAGATTATGTCATAAGGAGTGGAAGTGACTCTTTTTGTGGTGAGTATAGAGATTGACGGGGCAACTGTACAAAGCACAAAAAGAGCTTCTACTCCAAATAACATATACAATTTTTTTAAGGGCGTAGTATAAATAGGATAAGCAATAGAATGGGGTAGTTAAATTTTTTCTGACCTATACTTTTTATGGTTTTATTCAAGGCGTTTTGTAATATTAAACATTTCTGTGAAATCAGAATTCCAATTGAGTTTACCGTTTTCGAGATATTTACAAAAAATATAAATTTTTATGACGTCACAAACCTCGCCATGTGACCAACATTCTAAGATTTCTATTGGTTGAAAATTACCCTGTTGTCAAGTTGTCTTGTTAATGATTATCGGTTATGTAAGAAAATACCCGAAGAGGTTATGTACAAATACTGTCACTGTCAGTTGAGTAAAAGAAGAAGAAGAGGTGGGGCCGAGGATGGCGCAGTGCGTTAAAGCTACAGAGCGGTAATCAATCTGCGCCACGGTACCGGGTTCGATTCCCGGTCACAGCCTTGGGTGTTGTGGTTGTTTTTAAGAACCAAAAAATTTATAATAATGAGCTGGCTAAATAATCGAAAAGATTAAAAGTCAATAAACCAAAAAAAAAAAAAGAAGAAGAGGAGGTTAAAGAAAATTCTTAAATTAAAAGTTTTATTGATAGGTTTACACATTGAAACACCGTGTGAAACCAATAAAATGTAATAAATAGGTACCTAATAACTGTCTTAAGCAGAGTTTAATATATTTCATAGAAAAAAGTGGCAAAATAAAGCTGAAAATAAATTAAATAAATTTACAAAAAATAACAGTAAATGTAAGTTAACAATGGTATTTATGATATTTGTGTATAGTTTTTATAAAACTTGCATCCCTGATGATGAGCATCAAAACCTTTTGTAAGATTAAAAAAATGTATGACAAACTTTTGGACTGTTCGAAGATACTACGCTCTAGAGTACATTTTTGTACTTTTCGACAATTCTGGTTTAAATATTGCTGCAATAACGTACATAGTAGGTAAAGATAGTGCAGGGTCTACAAAGACAAGATTCCTCTGCTTTGGAGTCCGTTATTAATAAATCACTTATCTAATATCAATTACAAATAACAAAACAATAACATTGATTTTCAATAATCTAAATTTAAAAAAACATAACCCGAAAAAAAGAAACGTCAAAAAATCAATTCTTCTTCTTCTCAACTAAAATTATAGATCAAGTGGTTTTAAAACTAAAATATTATAACGTGGCGCCATCTATCGTAAGAATCTTAAACTAAACACACTGGCAACCTTAGAAAAAGCTGGCAACGTTGTCAATAGCCTAGTGACGTAATTAGGAGATTTTTTTTTGTAAATATCTCGAAAACGGTAAACTCAATTGAAATTCCGATTTCACAGAAATGTTTAAAATTACAAAACGCCTTGAATAAAACCATAAAAAGTATAGGTCAGAAAAAATTTAACTACCCCATTATTTTATTTACTCATAACTCATGTGGGATAAAATTTTGGCTAAAAGCATTAGAAATTATTGATAAAAACTAAAAAAACTTATAACCCTTACTTACAATGCCGATAAATATCCTAAACTAAAAATAAACACTGCTTGTCAAAATGCTGCGCTTGAATTAATTTTGACGTACTGACATTTGTTTGGAGTTCCGACATTGGCGACTCGTCTATCATAATATTATACTAATAAACTAGTAGTTCTTTATTTCATTCATTTAAAATTTAACAAAAAAATCACTAAATATTCCGTGGGACCAAGCTTAACTTATAAAGACCAGGGAATAAATATTGCTGTGGCAACCAACATTTATAAACCAATCTGTCGCCCAGTGCTGGAATATGGATCAGTTCTTTTTATAAATTGCAGAAAACCCACCCTAACAAACATAGAGATAGGCGAGCGCACAAGCATAAGGAAAATTACAAAAATCAGACATCCTCAAAATTCCTTATTTAACCCATCCAATGAAGCCCTTTACCATATCACTGGAATACAACCCATACAAGAAAGATTGGAATACCTAGCGAAAAAATTTGCCAACAAACCCGAAAACCTTAATGTGATGGAACCTTTGATTCTTAAAACACAACTCGAGACAACACCAAGGAGAAAATACCCAGAGAAATCGTTGTATGACTCACTCAGGGAATTGACAGAAGATTAATGAAGATATTAACAATATATTTAATTATAACATTTTTTTTTTGTAAAGTACAGAACATAAATTAAAATATAGTATTTGTTATATACAAAATTGTAATTGGGCAGGAAGACGAAAGTCGTTAGCCATTTGGATTTCCAATAAAGTTTATTATTATTATTATTATTATTATTATTTATTCCGTGTGATTATAATTAATATAATTAATACATCGTGATTGCTTTGTATGAAATGCTAAATTAATTTTATTATTTGACGTCTATTGAGTCACCTATGGATTTACTTCTATCCCTAGGCTTTTTTTAGTTTTTTATCTGCCGCTAATGAAAAAGACGCACTTCAAATATCTCTATACATGCATATAAGGTTGTATATCATGGCCACTTGAAAAAAAATAGTAGATTATGTCATAAGGAGTATAAGTGACTCTTCTTGTGGTGAGTACAGAGATTGATGGCCGAAGCGTAGCTGAGGCAGGCAACTGTATGAAGCACAAAAAGAGCTTCTACTCCAAATAACATATACTATTTTTTTTCAAGGGCGTAATATAAATAGGATAAGCAATAGAATTATTTTAGTAGTAGTAAATATATTTATTGGAAAAACCAAAAGGCTATCGACCGAAGTCTTTCTGCCTAATTTTATTATTTTATTTACTTAAATTTACATTAAATGTGGGATAAAATTTTGGCTAAAGCATTAGAAATTATTGATAAAAACTAAAAGAACTTATAACCCTTATAACCCAATGCCGATAAATATCCTAAACTAAAAATAATCACTGCTCTGTCAAAATACTCCGCTTGAATTAAATTTGACGTACTGACATTTGTTTGGAGACATTGGCGACTCGTCTATCATCATAATATTATACTAATAAACTAGTTGTTCTTTATTTCTTTCAATTTAAATTTAATAAATAATCACTAAATATTCCGTGCGATCATAATTAATATAATTAATACATCGTGATTGCTTTGTATGAAATGCTAAATATATATATATATATATATATATATAATTTTATTATTTGACGTCTATTGAGTCACCTATGGATTTACTTCTATCCCTAGGCTTTTTTGAGTTTTTTGTCTGCCGCTAATGAAAAAAACGCACTTCAACTATCTCTATACATGCATATAAGGTTGTATATCATGGCCGATTGAAAAAAAAACATTTTTTTTTAATTCAAAATTTGACACATTTGATTGTGTTGATACTGTATGTCAATATACTTTGGTATTTTTAGAATTATAATAAACAATGCCAAAGATAACAGAAAATTCTAAACAAAAATTTTAAAAACAAAACAGCATGCTGTTTAAATGCATTTTATGAAATAAATAAATAAATGCATTTTATGAAATAATTTCCAATGCCACAGAGGAAGATTAACTGGCTAAAATATATATATACTAATATAATCCTTGTTAACAAGCTACAAGTATTAACGTTTAAGCCCGTATTACAGTCTGCAATTACTTGCAGCAACTTTCTTGCATGCAAGTTTTATTGCTGACTGTAAAACACTTTGCAATTCCAACCGACTGGCAATAAAAATCGAGCAGGACCGATAATTTGAAACGGCAATAAACTTGCATGAAACGTCGCTATGCGTATGCCTTCGTGCAAGATTATTGCACATAGAATTGCAGACTGTAATATGGTGTGTGACTTCAGTGAAATACCCATTTATAAGGTGACCAACTGTTCTGATTTAATCAGAACTATACTGTTTTTGAGGTCTTCATTCTGACAGGAAATCAAAGGTAGTAAAGGTTCTGATTTTCCTATTTTGGTTTTGGTCTGTTCTGATTTAGCTTACCATATAAAATAAACTTGCAATTTTGATCCATATTCATTTATAAATAATATAATATATTAGGTATCCCTAATAACAAAAAATTTCATAATAGTTAATTTATATATGGGGAATTCCACGCCAAATCGACCACTTTTGACCCACCCCTTTCGATTTGACTGAACTTTTTAAATTTTTTTATACCCCACTAAAAAAGTTTCTCAGAATTTTTCCAATATTTTTACCCAACCAAAAAAAAGTTACCAATTTTTAAAAAAATTGCCAATTTTCTTTTAAAATACACATAACTTTGTCAAAATTTGACTAAATGGGGCGGTTTTTTTTTGGTTTTGAATGAACTTTTCAGAAAAAAAATACAAACAAGTTTGGGAAAAAAGAGACATTTCTTTGAAAAATTTTTAACATGTTTTTTGTCGGGTGAAAAAAACTAAAACATTCTAAGAAAAACTTTTAGTGGGGTGAAAAAATATAACATAATTTCAGCCAAATCGAAAGGGGTCAGGTTCAAAAGTGTCCGATTTGGCAATCCATATATAAAATAACTATTATGAAATTTGTGTTTTATAACTCAATAGAGAGTAAATAATAATAACCTAACATAGCACAAAAAACATGCAAAAATAGAGCAACACCTCTTTTTCTAAAAAAAATTTCCTACACGCCACCGCTATTCTGGTTTTCCCCTTAACACAGTAGGTCACCTTACCCATTTACCATTGGACAAAGTTTAAGTATTTACAGAAATATTATTATTTCATATAAATTCCTGCAATACATGTGTATTTTTAAGCTGGAAATGCTGTAAAGTCACCTAAATTTCATCAAAGGCAGTTATTTAATTTTTTAATAATTTATATTTGACATTTGACAACATTTAAAAACATAACATAACCCAAATTATAATTTCCACTAAATTAGTATATTTTAATCAATTTGCCAATTATAAATTTATATTCCCTAGAATTTTTTTGACGTCAAATTCTGAATGAAAAAAAACAAACTGTACTCCTACTAAAATATCCAAAAACAAGGGTTTAATTTTTTAAACAATGAAAGGTTAATTAATAAACCGGAAAACAATTTCAAATCACTTTAAAGCACAATATCAAATAATTGATTTTAAGTAGGTTTACCAACATAGCATGACGCCTGACCTGGCAGATTTGGTTAACTTTGAAAACATATTTTTTAAGTTAACTTGTGGTTATATACTTTTGTCCATATGCCCATGGTCATAAGATATCAATGTACAAAATTTTTCTGAAGCACACTCTAAAAATTGTTAGGTATTTAGAAAATGAGATTGACAAATTTTTAATTCTTGGTTCATTAAGGTTAACATTTAAAAATACCATTTATATTTTATTTCTGGAAAAAATCGCAGTTTTTAAAACTTCAATCTCATAAAGGCACAAGTTAACTTTTTCTAGTCAAATTGCAAATTTAAAGGAGGAACATTCTTTTAACCCAAAGATCATCCCGAAATCTGGAGTCTTTGGGCGAAACCCTGAGTATTAGTAACCATAATTTTAAGACTGCTGTACCTTTTTTCGAAGCTTCCCTCTAATGTGACATAACCTCTTAACACCATCGAAGCACATAGCTTCTAATCGACCATTTCCAAGCATTTTTGTAACTTGTGCATATTCTTGGCCATCTTCTTTAAACACCAATTCACGTTTTTCTGTTTCATTTTCGTTCTTTCCTCTTCTCCTATTTTTACCCCCCTTTCCTAGAAAAATTAAATGAAAAAGTTTATTTTATGTCAATATGTGAGTCATGTTAAACATTTGAGTTTTGGACTATATTTTAACTAAAACGATATACTCGAACAGAGTTAGTTATTTTACCTATATAAATAAATTTCAAATAAACCAGCAAGTAGTAATCATGCTGAAAAATGTCAAAAATGCATGGACATTTGCAATATGCCAAAATTTTGTAATGTCATCGAAAAATCTTGGTTAAACTTTTGGTTTCTTACCCTTATTCTTCGGCATTTTGTTTTACCTGACACTGAGACTTTTAACGAATTATTTAATGGGATTGTCTTGACTTTTTAAAGTTACAGAAAAATAATTGCCTGTCTGTGACGGACAAGGCACTCAAAGAATTATGGGTAAAGTGCGCGCGCATGGCCTTCTTCCGGCATGGAAATCTCAAAAAGATTTTTATTCGTGTCAAAGATGGAGTCCTATCCTGACGTTATAGAACATGAATCCAGTGCAAAAAGAATAAAACTCGATCTTGGCGAATCTAATATTGGTGAATTGTGCCATGGAGAAGGATTTTCTGGTTTTTCCACTACAATTCCAGGCCCGATGGACGTTTCAGAAGGTAAAAATTACAAAATATGTTTGGTTGTTTAGGGAATATTTTTCATCCAATATGGCGACGGGAAACAAAGGCAAACTGCGGACATTTTGTAGGCGTGGTGAACTACGATTACGAAGTAAAATTTAATTTTAAATCGCAATTATTTTTACATTTTTAACTCATAATCATTAATTTCATCCCATTCATGTTCTTTATTGATCAAATTTATAATTTATATGAAGAAAATCTTAATAAATTTTGAATTTTTTTTCCGAGATTGTTTTTATTTACCTTATTTTCAAGGACATTATATGGAAAATTTTAGTTTTGTTTAATTGGAATACACCAAAAATATTTGTGTACCTATGCAGGAAATTTTAAAACATTATTTTTTTGATCATGCGCACAAACTCTTTCCGGTCTTTGGTTTGGAAAAAAGTTACCTTAATTAATAGCCTATTAATAATAGGTATTTTTCAAAATATATTAACCAAACAATATTCTTATCATTACTAATAATATTTTTAGTATTGACCAATTTAGGTAGGTATTAACACGTTAACTGCCAAGTCGGTCCCAGGGGACCGCTAATACTTTTTCCATCCAGGCCACGGCGGTCCCTGTGGACCGACTGTCAATTTTTTGTTTAACAGTTTAACATGATTTTCTGGCCAGCGGACCGCTCGTATAAGGTATTTTAAAGCATGCATAGGACCGCTTGGCCCTGACGGCTGACGAAGATACAAGAGTTTTTTAATTATTTATTTTTTAATCTGTATTTTGACGATTTTATTTTTTAAAATGATACAAGTAAAATAACAACTTGGCCCAATAAACAAAATCACCAATAACGCCGTGGCGTTTAACGTGTTCAATAAATTTGAGTGTTAAAACTTTATAAATAATTATTGTATAAATATCTACCTACTTAAAAATAATAAAATACCTACCGGAATCTGGGTTGGTTAATAATTTTAAACCCCATTGGGGTTACCCACACACATTTTAAGTAACTAAATTAAATAAATTTGAGTATTAAAACTGTTTGTCACAAGATATTCTTTTTCTAGGATATTCTTCACAGAACAAATATATATGCGCATGAATCGGCGGTGCATGTGCACTACAAACTTTAAAAGAAACTATTGCTTATTTAATAGTATAACAAAACCTTAAAATATGTCTTTTATTGAATTTTATTATCATGATGCAAAAAATATTGCAACAAGAATTTAGGTTCTAAAACAATATTTTTACTGAAAGGTAGGTAAACTCATTATTCACGTTGTTAGGCATCATGATGCAGTGATTGGCCGATTTCAATATTCACTGTGATTTGAACCAATCGGGTTTTAAATTGGGAGAAGGCGACTATAGTATACTATTATATTATATTGGAGTAGATAAATTATAGTATTACACTCGAGATTGTGCGACTCGAGACGCAAACCTCATCCTCGTGAATAATAGCCTGCATTATCTCTCGTATAATAATATACAATTACTAACAAATTTTAACTTTTTATTTTCGAAACGTCATTAGAAATTTTCTTTTAATTCTTTTATATATACATTAGGGTGTCCCTTATTTTTTATTTTTTCACGCATACCCTCTAATTATATTTATTACGTGTTTATATACTCCCAGTAAAAATTTCAGCTCATTCTATAAACGGGAACCCGTGCCGACTTGCATCTGAACCCTCCGTTAGCCAACGTTAGGCGCGCGGTATTTTGTAACACGGTTGGTCGCGAGGTCTTCGATCGTAAGTCATTTTGTGTTTGTTATTATGTGACCCTTATATTATAAATTATTGACAAATGTTAAAATATAGTTTTATTTATGTGTATACTTTTATAAAAATGTATATTTTCACAGAAAGTGGCTAGTTACCCGGAAGTGAATAGGCCGTAAACTCTAAATAACTAAAAGAGTCTATTGTGAGAGATACTACCGAAAACTTATTGAACTGTCTGAAATATTTTTGGGAGGACATCAAGAAAAGAAATGCTTATAAAAACCTGAAATTTCATATAACAGTATATTTTAGCAATACTAATTAGTATATTAATATATTTAAGGGATAAAATCAACTAAATTTTTTTTTGGTTATTTTTTAATGGTCATTCAGATATAATAAAAAAAAGAATTTCGGGTAATTAGTTTTACGGCCTATTCACCCGACACTTCCGGGTAACTAGCCACTTCCTGTAAAAATATTCATTTTTATTAAAGTATACACATAAATAAAACTATATTTTAACATTTTTTAATAATTTATAATATAAGGGTCAGATAATAACAAACACAAAATGACTTACGATCGAAGACCTAGCGGCCAACCGTGTTACAAAATACCGCGCGCCTAACGTTGGTTAATGGAGGGTTCAGATGCAAGTCGGCACGGGTTCCCGTTTATAGAATGAGCTGAAATTTTTACTGGGAGTATATAAACAAGTAATAAATATAATTAGAGAGTATGCGTAAAAAAAATAAAAATAAGGGACACCCTAATATACATACATGTAGGTATGTACACATTCTTAAAAAATTTAACAAAATCATATTCAATTTTTTAACCTTTATAAATCGAAAACCTACATCATGGTATAGTGTTGGTGCGCCATTTTTTTAACATCCTGTATTATACAAAAAATGTAAATATTACTGTCAAACTCATCCCTCTAATTTGATTTTATTTCTTTACAACCTGGACAACAATCGGTATTTCCTGGTGAAGTCATGATGATATCACAACGTGATTTTTTTTTATCACGCTGTGATATCCTGAGTGCATACACATGCTTCATCACAGTGATATCATGTATAACTCACGGTGTGATATTTGCGAATATTTTCTTGGATTTAAATTAACTATATATAGTTAATTTAAAGCCAAGAAAATATTGAATGTTAAACTGTTGATTCAATTGTTAACATACTATTTCTTTCAATGTACAAATGTTTCGCAAAAATGAATATCCAAACACCGATGGCATAAAAAATCATGTCGTGATTTTTATGACCAAACACCGATGGAATAAAAAATCATGTCGTGATTTTGTATGCCATAGGTGTTTGGATATTTATTTTTGCGCCACATTCGTACATTGAGAGAAAAAGTATACCTACATATATGGATATTGAATCAACAGTTTTTGTGGTTAAATACATTCAATATTTTTGTGGATTTAAATTAATAGTTAATTTACATCCAAGAAAATATTAAATGTATTTTACCGCAAAAACTGTTAATTCAATTGTTAACATACTTTTTCTTTCAATGTACGAATGTGGCGCAAAAATAAATATCCAAACATGTCGGTGCACCGATGGCATAAAAAATTATGTTGTGATTTTTTATGCCCAAACACCGATAAACTAAAAAATCATGTCATGATTTTTTATGTCATCGGTGTTTGGATATTTATTTTTGCGCCACATTCGCAGAGAAAAAGTATACCCAATTATATATTGAATCAACAGTTTTTGTGGTTAAATACATTCAATATTTTCTTGGCTTTAAATTAACTATATATAGTTAATTTAAATCCAAGAAAATATTAAATGTATTTAACCGCAAAAACTGTTGATTCAACATAATTTTTCTCTTAGTTTACGAACGTGGCGCAAAAATGATTATCCAAACTCCGTTGGCATAAAAAATCACGACATGATTTTTTAGGCCATCGGTCAATCGCAAACAGCGATGGCATAAAAAATCACGACATGATTTTCATTTCTCACGCAGTGACATCCAGATGATGTCCGTATGAATAAAATTTGTGAAAATCACGACGTGACGTTCGTATGATTTTCATTTATCACGCGGTGACTTTCGTATGATATCAGTATGAATAAAATTTGTGAAAATCACGACATGATGTTCGTATGAATATCACGAATGTTGTCCGGGAATCTCTATGTTTTATCCTATAAAAACTGGGACTTGGTCGAAAAAAGGCATAAGTTAAAAAACACAGTTGATTTAAACGCAATTCCAAATTTTAACCGTTTACGACAACAATATTTTTTCACTTAGCCTTTTTTGACCAATCCACAGATTTCAATACATAGCGGGTGTTGTATAAATGGGATACTTAAGTATCCCATTTAACCCAAGTCCTTAAGATTCTGTTACTTGTAAAAATAAGTGATATGTTTTATTATAGGTACAATGTATTCCCACTGTGTTTTAGAATAAGCTAGTTCTAAAAAGTAAAGTAATGGCTTTAAAAGCATGACAATTTAGTATTTTAACTCTTCAAAACAGTTTTTTTTTTAAATTTATGGTATGGTAAAAAATATCGTTCTTATTAAACTTATTTCTCGTTTTTCATACTATTTGTTATGATTTGGTTTAAGAATTATAATATTTTTTTTTTACAAAAATTTTATGATTTTTATTAATTACTTTGCAGGCGTGTCCGTAGACTGTGACTCGGGCTACGAGGCGTCCACAATGGAATCCCTGCCGACGCCGTCACATCACGCATCGCCTCACACAGATCCCGGTGACCGGCCGGAGGAAAGCCTATCCAACCTCTCCGAATCCATCACACAAACTCCCACACACATGGCTGATCAGCTGGACACATCTCAGGACAGCTTGGAGGTCGACGACGATAACGCCTCCACAGTTAGCAACTTGAGCGAGCTGAGTGGCCTGTCCGACCTGTCCGGACAAGAATGGAAACCCATGGCTGGAAGCATGATTTGGGTAAGAATATTGTTTATAATTATTTATTTTAATTACATAAACACTGTGTCCAAAGTTATCTGCTCACCATTACTAACTCCCTTATTATTGGAGCTACAAAGTAGGTTAAATTATTAAATTGGTGGCATTTTTTTTTCGATTAAAATGATGAAAACAGAAAAACAATTAAACGTCGGGTTTTCGAAATATTTACAAAAATAATATTTTTTAAATAGAGACATATTTTGATAGAAAATTTAATTTGGACAAAAGGTTATTATTGCATAACTACCCGAAACAATTAAAATGGACTTTCCGCTTTTTTATTAAATAATTAGGAGATATCATTACAAAAAAGTTTTTTGAGTCAAAATCAGCAAGCTTCAATATGGTTAGGTTTTATTTTAATTATTACTGCATTAATATATAAATATATATATATATACAGGGTGTCCCAAAAGTCAACGATCTCCTTTGAAGGACTTATAGGTCAGCTCATGACTAATATCAAAACATGACCTAAGTAAAAAATCATTAGTTTTTAAGATATTGGCATTTTTATGAATTTTGTGAAACTTGACACATAAAATCAGTTTTTTGAGTGCCACAACTACAACATACTATATTCTGATTATATTTTATTTTGCGTAACCCTGAATAGGACTGTTATTAATTACAATTCAAAATTAAATTAACAGTAGATTTTTAGCTGTGGCACTCGAAAAACTGATCTAAGGTGTCAAGTTTTACAAAATTCATAAAAATGACTATATCTCAAAAACTAACGATTTTTTACAAAGGTCATATTTTGATTTTCTGCGTTGGTCGACAAATCAGATTGTATGACAACTAATTTAAAGCTAACTTCAGCCCGTGACTAAAATGCCCGAAACCCGTTGTTGCTAAGTTCATACCGTGACTAATTTACAGTTTGTCAATGTGTATTTAAAAGATTACTTAGGGTCAAGAAAACAATTTGAGCAGATACTACAATAAGCGGAAAATAAATATTTGTTAAAATATTTTTATTTCCCAAAATTTTATTTTGTTTATTTCCAGATTCAAAAACAGATGCAAAACGGCGTGAACCCTCGAACAGTGCTTTCGGACTTGGGCGTAGAGTTAGACCAAATTCCACAGTATGTAGACGAGGTAACACTGTGGAAATTGATAATAAACATGCTGGCAGAACCGCCGCGAAGAAACAAATTAAGACATGTAAATTCCTTGGACGACGTGGTGCGATTACTGAGAGGGTCAAAGAAAGTCATAGTTTTGACGGGAGCCGGTGTTTCGGTCTCTTGCGGCATTCCAGACTTCAGATCCAGAGACGGAATTTATTCCAGACTGGCCATCGATTTTCCCAACCTTCCCGACCCGCAAGCCATGTTCGACATCAGTTTTTTCAGTCAAGACCCACGACCATTTTTCAAATTTGCTCGGGACATTTATCCCGGAAAGTTTCAGCCTAGTCCGTGTCACAAATTCATAAAACTGCTGGAGAAACATAAAAAGTTGCTGAGGAATTACACACAGAATATTGATACTTTGGAAAAAGAAGCAAATATTGAGAGAGTAATTGAATGTCACGGATCGTTTGCCACAGCCACATGCACCAAATGCGGCCACAAAGGTAAGTAAAATCGTTTATTCTGGGTTCAAGTAGGAGCGATTTCCCAAGACAAAATGGTACAATAATTAGGTATAATGGTTTTATTTTTAATAAATCGTATAAAAATGATTCTTCAAATTTTTTGTATCTAAAAATTAATCCAATATCCATAAGCATTAAATCCCTAATATATTGGATTTCTTAATTGATTTATTTAGTTTTTTATGGAACGCCCAAGTATTTTTTAAAATCTGCATTTTAATATTAACTACCTATAAAACGAGAAATAAATTTACGAATTAATAGCAAATTTGGTAATTTCTCTGTTTTAAAAATTATAAAGACGCATCCAAGTTTAACCAAAATTGAATATTGCTTCTATGAGCAAATATGCTACTTTTCAAATATAAATTGGGGGCCGTTCATAAAATATGTCACGCTAAAATCAGCTTTTTCTGACCCCCACCCCGCCATTGTCACGCTGTGTCACGCTTTCTGTGACCCCCCTAGAAATATTTCGTTACAAAAACTAAGCCCCCCCCCCTGAATATGGTAAATTTCAATTTATAGTACACAAATTTTGAGAATTTAAGTATTTATTTAGTTTTTATAATAAAATTTAAATAAAGTAATAAATATCTTTTATAACGAATAAATAAGTAATATTTTTATGTGGTCTGTGTTTGTTACTGAGTCGAGAGCGCAGGGTGCGTGGAAACGTTACTCTTTTAAGTATTGGAAAAACAAAGAAACCAATTGTGACGATTCGCAATGTCGAAAAATAAACAAAAATAAATATATTAAGTTACAATTTATTGTAATAAAATTATATACGTTTGAAAGTCTATATATTTACTAAATACGAAATAAATGACTTTCTATCATGATGAAAATTTAAAAATAAAAATAGTCAAAAAAAATACTTATTAAAAATATTTTAATGAACGGCGAACGTCACGTTGCCATACACCCCTCGCCCCCCCCTTGTCACACTCAGCAAGAGCCCTCCCTGTCATAAACCCGCTTTTTAGTTTTGCTGTCAAATTTAAATATTTAGCATTTTTAAAATGTTCCAGGTTCTTCAAAAGACCTCAAGCACTTTTAGGCAGTTTTAGAGCATTTTTCCTTCTCTATATTTTACAAGTAACAACACAGCAACAATTAATCGCCCTGAAATTGTAAAAACAAACATAAATACAACATGCTAGCATATATTTACATTATTATTTTCAACTAATTAACCAAAAATACCCACTACCTAGAAAAATTCTTTGGCGCCAAAAAAATAAAAAGTGAGTAATTTATATAGGAGAGTCCGTGTTTTGCGTCTGCAAGAAAAATGCTAATATTCCATATTTGGGTACTATTCCATATTTGGTTACATTATAATCTTTGTATTACAGTGACGGCCGAGGCAATCAGAGAAACAGTGTTGGCGCAAAAGATTCCTTTGTGCGAAGTTTGTCACGCGGGCGAAGAATCGTCGATATCAACAGACGAGCTTGGCGAAGAGCGCGACTACCACGCGCTCGTTGCGTCCGGCGTCATGAAGCCGGACATCGTCTTTTTCGGCGAGGGTTTGCCGGACACGTTTCACGAGGCGATGTCCGAGGACAAGACGCAATGCGATCTGCTGGTCGTGATCGGCTCGTCGCTAAAGGTGCGACCGGTGGCGCTGATTCCCAGCTCGTTGCCCCCGAACGTGCCCCAAATTCTGATTAACCGCGAACCGTTGCCTCACTGCCGCTTCGACGTCGAGTTGCTTGGAGACTGCGACGTCATCATCAATCATCTTTGTAGGCTGTAAGTATATAGGAAACCCCTGTAGGTTTTAAACTTTTTTTTGCGTTTAAATATAACTGGTAGCATTATTGATGTGTACGAGTAAAGCTTAACTTTCCTATATCCGTTTGTCCGATCATCCGGGAGCGTTCTTAGTAACTTCTTACTGTTCCAATTATAATTCGAAAATTATAACATTTCATCGGTCCGTCAAGTTTCAACTTCGTACGTCTGACGGGAAAAGTTTAAATAATTCTAACTCATCCGTCACTACACATTCGTTTTTGACTCCTAACGTTATTTTAAGATAATTTATTTTTAAATCTTTTAATATTTTTTAATTATGATTGTAAAACGGAGTAATTAAGTTCGTTATGTGAATAATGTTCCACTGTTATGTCTTTATTTAATAAGAACGGAAAAAAGGCGACGAGTGCGTGCAATTGCGCTTATTTATTGTTGAAACAAAGACAGAATTAATTAATGCGCATTAGGGTGATTCAAAAAAAGCCTTTTTTTAAAAATGAACCCGCACTGGCCTATATTATAAAGATTACATTAAAACTAAAAGATTGATACCAAAAAATCCAAATTCGATGAATATTTAGAGGTCGCTCAAATCGCGCAAAATAGTAAATAACTCCGTTAGTTTTTAATCGATATTATTAAAAATTTAAGGGTTACCTAGTTTTTTAATACCCTCTGAGACAGTGTATTGAACTTAACGGAATTTTTTTTTTTTCATGTAAAAAAATAATTTGTTAATAAAAACGTATCATCTTATAAAATAAGCAACAATTGGAATCGCACTATGATGGTACCGTAAAAAAACTAAGAAAATAACACTTAAATTATTTAGTATACAGAAAACCTGCCGAAAGAAATATTTTATTTGATTTATGTAAAATATAACCTAAAATCCCCCACCTTTTCACCAGAACAAGGAGTGCCACAAGGCTCACCATTATCACCTTTCTTGTATAATTTATTTTGTTATGACATGTACAATTTGGACCACTTAAACATAAACAGACAGAGCTATATTCTCCAATATGCTGACGACACAGTTTTGATAACGCATGGAAAAACGACAACAGAAGCAAGTGTGACACTACAAGAACTAACCAATCAGGTATCGTCATGGATGTCTAAATGGAGAATCCTACCAAGTCCGTCAAAATCACGCCTACTACTGTTCCATCACAAAATAAAAGAAAATTCGCCCACAATAAATATTATGCAAAGTACAGTAGAACCATCAACATTTTGATAGACACCAAGTTAAACTTCAAACAACACACAAGCCACACCAAGACATGTATTATAAACAGGGCCAAGCACTTTAGAAGCTTAACTTATAAAGACCAGGGAATAAATATTTCTGTGGCAACCAACATTTATAAACTAATCTGTCGCCCAGTGCTGGAATATGGATCTGTTCTTTTTATAAATTGCAGAAAACCCACCCTAACAAACATAGAGATAGGCGAGCGCACAAGCATAAGGAAAATTACAAAAATCAGACATCCTCAAAATTCCTTATTTAACCCATCCAATGAAGCCCTTTACCATATCACTGGAATACAACCCATACAAGAAAGATTGGAATACCTAGCGAAAAAATTTGCCAACAAACCCGAAAACCTTAATGTGATGGAACCTTTGATTCTTAAAACACAACTCGAGACAACACCAAGGAGAAAATACCCAGAGAAATCGTTGTATGACTCACTCAGGGAATTGACAGAAGAGTAATGAAGATATTAACAATATATTTAATTATAACATTTTTTTTTTGTAAAGTACAGAACATAAATTAAAATATAGTATTTGTTATATACAAAATTGTAATTGGGCAGGAAGACGAAAGTCGTTAGCCATTTGGATTTCCAATAAAGTTTATTATTATTATAACCTAAAAATAATTAAGTAATTTAGATTTTTCCCATTTTCAAACGATTTTATAAATAAGTTATATCCGTTTTATTAATTATGACGTATTTTAATAATATTTCTTTATTTTTGATACCATATTTAATTAATTAAACTAGGTAGTTATTAAATTAGATCCTTTTTACAACTAAAATAAAATAACGTTAACTACAAAATTATTCACTGCATTGATATGGCTTAAGCAGAAATTTAAATTTTAATAAAATTATTGACATACAACAATTCTCAATTTTGATACCAATATATATATATATATATATTTTTTACTTAATTCAAAAGCGTCTAAGTACCAAAACTAATTTGTTGAGAAATTAAAGAAAAACATCTTATACCTTGGTGGAGATAGATAGCATGCTTGATGGATGAACAAAGCTATATACTTACTCTCTAAAGATTTTCTTATTTCGGGATCAATTTAAACTCACTAACAATGAAAATAAGTCATTGCGTAGAATTTGTATTTTTATTATTTTGGTTTACATATTTGCCTGGTTCCAAGCTCCAAATGCAACTTGCGCGCCCAAAAATGGTTTGAAAACACTTCATGAACTTCATGTTTACAATAATTTGCAAATAGAAGAGCTAATTTGTTTGGCATTTTTTCATAAAAAATACCTACTGAAACAAAAGAAAAAATGGTTGAAAAAATTAACATTAGAAACAATCATTGCAAAGACAAAGATGTAGAGCAGTGGATTTTTTTTATTTTAATTATAAAAAGGACCTAATTTAATAACTACCTAGTTTAATTAATTAAATATGGTATCAAAAATAAAGAAATATTATAAAAATACGTCATAATTAATAAAACGGATATATATTATTTATAAAATCGTATGAAAATGGGAAAAATTTGAGTAACTTAATTATTTTTAGGTTATGTTTTATATAAATTAAATAAAATATTTCTTTCGGCAGGTTTTATGTATGCTAAATAATTTAAGTGTTATTTTTTTAGTTTTTTTACGGTACCATCATAGTGCGATTCCAATTGTTGCTTATTTTATAAGATGATACTTTATTATTAACAAATTATTTTTTTTTAAGAAAAATTTTTTTCCGTAAAGTTTAATTCACTGTCTCAGAGGGTATTAAAAAACTAGGTAACCCTTAAATTTTTAATAATATCGATTAAAAACTAACGGAGTTATTTACTATTTTGCGCAGTAATAATTTCGCGGCTCGAATGTGCAAAAATACGAAAATCGATTTGAGCAACCTCTAAATATTCATCGAATTTGGATTTTTTGGTATCAATCTTTTAGTTTTAATGTAAACTTTATAATTTAGGCCAGTGCGGGTTCATTTTTAAAAAAAGGCTTTTTTTGAATCACCCTAATGCGCATGAATCAATCTCAATATTCCCGCCACCCAGATTTAAAATCTTGCGAATCTTGCAGGATCTGTCGAAACGTCAAAACGCTCTTCCCGCCAAATCAAATGGACCAATGAAAACATTTTTCGTATTTCGCATTTTGCATCGATATGAAACCGCTTTTAGTCACGTAGATGTGACGAGTCGTCACTGACGACTGCGTCAGTGTGTGCGTGCGAAAATCGATATTATTGAGAGTGGGGACGCGGCCGCCTTAAGGGTTTATAAACCTTTGGGCTGGGTCAGAAAATAATTTGTTATTAAATATTCTTTGAGTGCATACTTTTAAGAATATCTCCTCAAAATTTCATTAAGATCGGCTATTTATAGCACGCTACCTCGCTAGACTTGCCTTCGAGAGGTAGCGCGTTATAAATTGCCATTATAGTCCGATGGTTCGATCTATAGGTGCGCAACGCTAAAATAAACTTAAAAATTTTCTAAAAACTGCCTAAAATGTCTCCACAACCTTCTTGTTGTGGTTATCAAATGTAAGGGTTTGAAGAGTAAAAAACAATGAGGTGGGTAAAAAATTTTAAAATTTTCCAAATTATTTAAATTTTCAAAATTTCCAAAATTCACAAATTTTTCATATTTCCCACACTAAACTCGTACCACCATTTTTGAGTACAATGGCACTCAACTGTTTTTTTTCTGTTCACAATCTTTCTTCACAAGAGAATTGATCTTAGAAAAATGCTTTAAACTGCAATTGCATCTGTAGATTGTTTTTAATCTTTTTGGGTCGATAATAATTTAATTTACAATGATAAACTACAGTTTTTAGAAATTTCACAAATATAAAAATATTGGAATAATTAAAAGATAAATTAAAAAGCCCCAGTAATCGTAATAGTCAAAATCTAGATATGGCCAACGGCAATATATTATTAGAGATGGTCAGTGGAAAATTTTATTTTCTAAATTAACTTAAAGGGTTTTTAGGGCGTTGGAAAATTTCTGCAAGTACCTACCAAAAGAAATTTTCCCACACATACCTACATTTTTTAACCTTAAGGGTAATATTCGTAAAAATATATAAATTTGTTAAAATAAATCTTAATATTTTCAACAACAAGGTTTTAACCAACTTGTACTTTATTAATTTTTATTGTAATCAACTAGAGAACCACTAAATATTAAGTTCAATTTTATAAGTTAATTTAGTTAAAGGCAAAAGGTTCCGTATTTTTCATTAATGTTTATTAAATAATCGCATAATAAATAGTATTATATTTCTGAATATTTTAAATACGATCGGCCGCCCCAGTACCCGATAGCAAAGGGGAACAGTAATATAATATAATATTATGTCCCAGATTTAACCCTCCAAGAGGTACAGATTATGCACAACTGTTAACCAGACACAATTTTACATCTTTGCGTATCAGAAGAATACTTTTATTTATTACTTTTTTATTTAAACTTTTGCACAACTTAATTGATTCACCATTTTTACTAAGTAAAATTAATTTTTTAGTGCCGCGAACAAATGTTTTGCTTAGGTCGCCAATTTATAATGTATATAATAAAGTTTAATGTAATATCCGAGCTAGTTGATATACAAAATGATTTCTTAAAATCAATCCTGGTTGTAGCAACTGAATATTTTATGTAGTTTTTCTTTATTTTCTCCTTTTTATTTTTTAGTTTATTTTGTTACATTTGGGTTTTTGCATGTAGGTATTGTACTTATTTTTTTAGGTAGGCTCTGCCTCAAACTTATTGTAATTATTCTTTAGTTTAGCTCTTACTGAACCTTAATTGTTTTCCTATTATTGGAGTTGTTATTCTGTTGGACAACAAAGATTTATTATTATTATTAATTAGCAGGAATGCACCAGCAGATTTAGAGATTTATCTTAACTAAAAAAGTGAATATGAAGTCATGTCCAAATAGTGCTCTTTTCTAAGATACAGGGTGTCAAATTTATAATATTTGTAAAAAATTTCCCTTACCTATATCTTCCAAAATATAACAAAAATATTTAAATTTGGTATGTAGTAGTCATATCTAAAGGGAATAAATTTTTAATTTACCATGTGATTATTTTTCCTGATCTTGTGGTATTTAACTCAACCAAACTTTGTTTTTTTTTATTATTAAATAAAAATTTTCATAAAGATTGGTAAAGGTGTTTTAGAGTTAAAATTTTTTTTCTTCTTATTTTAGCTATGTTTACCATGCTTTCCATATGTTTAAACGAATTAACCCTTGAGAATGTAAACAATGAAATGTCAATGATAAAAACAAATATATTTTAAATAATTTAAAAATGCTAGTGAAGTCCTACTACACTGCGCGTCAAAATTAACGCATAATAAGTAAACAAATTCTAACTCCAAAACACCTTTACCAATCTTTATGAAAATTTTTATTTAATAATAAAAAAACGTTAAAGGGATTTTTTAAGTAAATAAAAAATATACTGTTAAGGACCCTATTTTTGTTAGTATACTGTACAACAAAATCCCTAAAAGAATAAAAGAGTTCAATCAGAAAAGACTGAAAAAAAGACTAAAAACCGTACTGCTGAGAAATCCTTTCTACTCCATAGAAGAATTCATGAATTGTGATGCGCAAATATTTGATATTTGATATGTGATCTTTTATCCTTAATTTTAACAATGTTTGTAATTTTATCTACATGTATTTATAATTTGTAATTTTCTGTCTATTGACATCTGTTTGTTCCATTTTGTAATCTTATTTAAAATTTTATATATGTTGACATGTCATGTAACTTTCGTTAATGATCAATAAACTACTATTACCCTGAAAATGTTGTACAAATCAAACGAACAGTAACGAAGATACAGCGCATCAAAGTCGGTAAATTTTGCTGAAAAGTGGTAATTTTTGACGACTGATGCGCTGTATTTTCGTTACTGTTTGTTTGATTCGTACAACATTTTCAGGGTATACTTACAAAAATACGGTCTTTCACAGCATATTTACTTAAAAAAACTTTCCCCATAAAAGTTTTTTTCGAGCGTTTTTATTAAATAAAAAAGCTTTAAGGATATTTTCTCCCTTGAACATATAAACTGAGATATAAGTATTTTTATCCAAAATTTTATAAAGATTGGTAAAGGCGTTTTAGAGTTCAATTTTTACTTGTTATGCGTTAATTTTAACGCGCAGTGTACTAGTAGTAGCAGGACTAAAACCAGTAGTAGTAGTACTAAACCCTGGGACACCCTGTATAAATTATGATGGGTTAGTTAGGTTGCGCAATGGTATATGGCGCGGACATTGTATTGATTATTTGTCTGCCCGCAAGCTTGTTCTGGAATAGAGTTTTTAATTATTATTAACCAAATATTTTGTTTTGCATTTAGAACACTATACTACTAGTGTACAGGGTGAATTTTAAGTTGTCGCTTTTAACAGCGTGTGGAAATCAAAAAGACAAATATTTCAAGTTTTTAACAACTAAAATGATCTTTTGTCCTTTATTACTTAATATTGTAGATACGATTGTGGATATGGCGTTCTTGTTTAGCAGGGCAGAATAGTCATGCCGGGATTTATATAATAGGCTAGACAGGCTACTGCCTCAAATTTTCGCAGGCGGCAAATTTTAGAAGGCGGAAATATTTTCCGTGGCTACTAACAACAAAGTATTACCTTCGCATAATTTCCTATCTATCTTATTTTTCCGCAATTTTTTGAAAAGATTTTTCCCACTGTTATTATTAACCCATTTTTGATTTATTATTTTCGTATTGTACTGAGAGAAAAATTTGTCAATTTCCTCGGTAATTTCAAACAAATACAATTAATTGATTCCAATTTTAAAGCGTGTCCCAACAAGATCGCGGGATTTAATTTTAAAGAAAAACACATTTATTTTTTGAATTAAGCCAACATTTTTATATTAGAATAAAGAAAAATAGTTCCGATTAAACGTTTACAACATCAGCCAATGACCACCACGAAACCACTGGCACAGGGTTATTCTTTTGTTGAAATTTTGAATAACGTTTTCGCATAAATGTGGCTGTATTTCACCAATAACGCGCCGTATTTACTCTTTAAGATGTTCAACTGTTTAAGGCTTATTCGCATACACATTTTCCTTCACTTAGCCCTAAAGAAAAAAGTCAATCGGCGCTAGATCGCACGACTTGGTAGACAATGTTGATCACCAAATCGAGAAATAACACGGCCTGGTAACTTGATCTGCAGTAACTACATTGTTTCACGTGCTGTGTGGCAGGTCCCACCATCTTGTTGGAAAAATATGTCCTCCAAATCAATTACATCCAATTCGGGCCACAAAAACTCCGTTAACAATGTTTAATCCTTGACCACGATGCCGAATGGAAGTTCCTGGATTCTCGGCCACAGATTCCCTTACTGTGGTGTCATTTGGCGCATAATTGCGACCGAAAACTTGAGAAACTCTTTTCGCAAAACTTTCACCTTTTTTGTAATGTGTTTTTACAATAATTAAACATTGTTCGTTTGAATATTTCTCCATGTTCTTAAATCGCGTGGTTTGTACGTGACAAATCAGCGTACAACTCTTAACAAAATGTCGGCAAATTTAAATCGTGCGCTCTTGTTGGGACAACCTTTAATTATTCAAACAACATCGAATTTGAATAAAAAAAATATTTAAAATAAAACTGCATTTCATAGTTTTAAATAAATTTTGCGGTAATTAAATTTGGAACCTATTAAATATATTTGTTGTTTGTTTGTAGTGTAAGCAGCAATTTGATTCAGCTGACAAATTTGTAAATCCGCCTCTGATAATTATCATAATTATAATTATTAAAGTGGTATACCAGCGTCAAAAGAAAAGTAACAAGAAAGCTAAAATGAATTTAGCTTTTTTGCTATTGATTTTAATATAGGTACTTTAATACGCTGTAATATGCAAAGTACAAGTAAATTTATATACCTTATGTATACATACATATTTTCAATACCAATTTAATAAATGTATTTTTTAAGGATTTTGGAAGTTTTGTGAAAATGTGAAATGCTAAAAACAAATTTAAAAGCAATTTGAAAGTCGAAGAGTATTTTTTTTGAATAATGAAGGTGGCGTGGTGGTTTTTTACATTTTTTAGTATTTCTGCGGTTTGTTGATTTGTCGCACTAATTGTGGGACACCATGTATAGGCTATAGGCTAAAAAAACATTTTTCTGTTTAAATCAGATTTAAGTGTACACTATGTGTATGCAAGGTTTGAAAATGTATTTTTTTTCTAGACTTGGTAACAAATGGGAGGAAGGAATTTACTCTCAGGAGGTGCTGAAGCAGTCTTCATTATTGCCGATATACCCCGAAGTGTCAAAACCCGAAAAGCGCGCCTTTTCAAAAGAAACCGAGCCAAATTGTACAGTAGATAATAAGTTATTAGAGTCCGAGTGTGACGAATGTTCGTGTAAATGCAATATTAGTACAAACGCTAGTTCCTTAACAGTAGAAAAAGATTTAGAAATTAACTGTAGATGCAATACAAACTCAACGTCAATTAACGAGGAGCTGGGCGAAGCGAAGTCACCGAAAGAGCGACACATGTCGATCGATTCGGCTCGAGATTCGGGCATCGGTGACAACTCGAACTTTACCGACCTCGAGACCAAGTACGACGATACGTCGGACGAAAACACGGACAATAAGGACGAGGAGGATTTCAAAATGTTCCCGTCCTCGTCGTCGTTTGCGACCGCGAAGACGGACCTGGATAACGCCGCAGATCTAAGGGGGTTGTGGCAGCCCAAGGTGAAGAAAAGTCTGGCCGACAGGCTGCCACCGCACTCTTTCCACCTGGTGCCACCCAGCAGGTACATTTTTCCGGGCGCGGAACTATTTTACGACCCCGATGACGCTTCCTCGCAGGATGCAGATTCGAATTCTGCCTCGGACAGCGATTCGGACGCTGAAGGGCCCATTCCTGCTTTCTAGTAGGTCAGTTTAGCACGTTCATTTTAAAATAGTCCAGTAAAGGTATCCCTATATATAGGAATTACTTTACTAGAGTTATATTGCAATTCATTGGGTAAGAAAACATTTTTTAGCGATCGTTTAACTTAAATCTGTGTGAATTTATCATCAAAAACAGCCAATACCATTTTTGACAAAAAAAAATAGTTCTACAAATTTGTTTACTTTATGTTTTGAATGTTTTTTATATTTGAGAAAAGAGGGGGGGTACATAAAGTGAACAATTGCTTGGTACTTAAACGAAATAAAAACTAGAAGGCTATTGGCTAGTTGGATAAAGCTTATATTTCATGTATCCGTTAGTCCGATCATCCGGAAGCGCTCTTATTGGTCCAATTACAATTCGAAAATTATAACATTTTATCGGTCCTTCAAGTTTCAACTTCGTACGTCTGACAGAAAGTTAAAATAATTTTAACTCATCCGTCACTACATTTGTTTTTGACGCCTAACGTTATTTTAAGATAATTTATTTTCACATTTTTAGTATTTTTTTTTTATAAGATTGTAAAACGGAAATATTACGTTCGTTATGTGAATAATGTTCTACTGTTATGTTTTTATTTAATAAGAAAAGCCAAACAAACAAATATTAAAACCAGAACTAATTAGTTTATTAGCTGTCTAATAAATTTAAAGGTAGGTAAATATACCATATAAAAAGTATATACTAGCCTTAATATACATTAAAATGTATAGTTTTAATGTATATATTAAGGCTAGTATGTATATTCTTTTTATATGGTATATTCTGCCGTGCTAAGCTAAACCCCTGTATCTGCAATATTAAATAATAAAGGACAAAAGATAGTTTTTATTGTTTTAACAATGAAAATGATATTCCCTTTAATACTTAATTTTGTACATATGGGGGTTTGCCTTACCTACCTTTAAATTTATTAGAAAGCTAACTGTTAAATTTACAATTGTTGAAATAATTGTAACTATGACAATTAAGCATTAGGTAAATTTAGTAAAGTAAATATACTGACCCTTAATTTCTATTTGTCGCCAAATCAATCCATAGATGACCGAAGGTCAATCCGTTAAACGTCATTAAAGGATGCATGAAAATTAGAACATTTCTTGTCGGACGATTTTATTGAAAAACGGATACATGAAAATTAAGCTTAAGGCGATAAATAAATGAGAAATTATATTTACAAAAATACTTCTATAATATCCAAGTCGATTCCTTATTGACTTATTACAATGACAACTTTGTTTTATTATTCACAACTAAAAGTAATGAATTTTTGATTTTACTGAATATTTTTTGAGAAGTCATAAAGCTATAACCTCCAAATGTTATTTGGTGTTAAAAATTACTGATGACCACTAAAATTGTACATCTTTAAACTTCTGTAACTTTTTAAGTCAAATTGAATTGAAGTTTAATCTGCCAAAGTTTGATGGTGAGCTAATATAAAAAAGATATTCGACCATAAAAAAATTTCAAGACCCTTTTTTATTAAATAATCTTGTATAACTCGTTATATATGCAAAAACATTTTAAAATTCCAAGTGTACAAACTTGTATATACTCATTTTAATTTTTTCTTGTCAAAAGTGGTAGCAGCTGTTTTTTCTATAAAAATAAAAAATACGGATTTTATTCGGAAAAGTTTATGGTCGAAAATTCGGAAAACATTTCTTATCCAATAAATTGGATTAATAAAACCTAATTAACTGGACTAAAAGCAATTTTCCACAACTTGGTAGTAGCATTGTAAACTTAGAATGGCTTAGAAATCAATCTAATCCGTTTTATTCGTTTTGCAAAAGTTATTACCAACGTAAAAATCTATAAACCTAATATCAATATATTTTATACAGTTCGGCATGTATGTAGGTATATATTACACGCTTCTATTCTACCATAAAGTGCTATTTAAAACAGTTATAATCTTGAAAAAAATTGTTTTAAAAATAGGAATAAATAATAGTTTTACTGTTCTTATTATGATTTATTTTTTAAAATTCAAACTGATATTTTTTCTAAATTCCTTATAAAATTTAAATATTGTAGACAAACAGTTTTAGTGATAATACATATTATACATACTTTGAAATAAGAGCAAATGAACCCTAATTTTTCTTGTTGTTTTTTTAAATGTTTATGATATGAGTTGTTGATTAGAATTACATAATGTAATTTTTCTACTTTTAGAATATGGAAATTTAGTTGTTTAAAAAATTATCTTAGAAATGCTATCCAAAGATATCTACTTAATTTTAATAGGTTCATAAATGAACAGTTCCATAATTTTGTGAATGTCTTAAAATTGGCATTATTATTAAAAAGCTATTTATTTCGTTTAATAACAAAAAGCATTTACAAAGTGACTTTTAAACTACATAATGACACTTTTTCTACATTTAAATAATTACTTAATTAACTAGTAATACTTGTGTCATTAAAGCTATTTGTATATATCTGGTTAAATATTTCATTAATTTTGTTTTATACTATTTTAATTGTTATTATGTATTTAAGCTATCATTAATTCAGGGTGTTATTTTTAATGTTAAGGTAAATTTAAACAGGTTCATCTAAATATTAGAATAGTAAATTATGAAAAAGTATTGATCTCTCAAAAATGTATTTCTTTAGGTATGTGTGATGTAAATTGCGTATAAATATTTTTAACATAAATTAATTAAAAATATTTATAGGAATGATGTGAAAATATCTGTAGTGGTATTTGGATTTGTTTAGTGAAACGACTGATTATTATAATAAATGTTAATTTGTGGTTTAGTTTGTGTATGTCCAGTGACAAAGTACCTTATATTTTTATAATTAGTTGAAATAGTATTCATTTTATATTTCTGTCACAGACAAAGCATGTAAAAATATTTTTTTATTTCACCATATAAACTGGTTAAAAACCTTAAACATAATATTAAAGCAAGTCTTATGATAAACTGTAAATATTAGAAATGAAACTTCAGAGCATGTCATATATGATTTCTTATATGGTTAAATGTTCCTCTTCAGCATTTTTTAAATTTCACCTGTGAAGCAAAAAAATTAACTTTTTTTACTCATGATTATTTTGCTCCACTTGGATTGCTTTACAGTAGAAGTATGTTCTTTGGAACAAAATGTATTTTTCTATTATAAATATCGAAATTTTGATTACAAGCCGCATTTATGTCCTTTATATCAATTAATTATGAAAGAATGTTATGGAGGTAGACATTAAATTATTTTATGATTGTGCACAAATGTATTTTTTATAAATCTCATCTAGCATAATTGGTGTCCCTCAAAGTGTCCCTTTCTGTATACAAAGGGACTTTAACAATATGTCTAATTTAAAAAATGTGGAAAATTCTTTTGTACAATATTTTATAATTTGCTTGTTAGTTTCATGATGTTAACTATACAAAATTTATTTAAAAATTTTGTATGGTTACCAAATTAATATATAAGGTATTAATTAAGTTTATTTTTGTACAAGTATTTATTTAGTGTTGTGTATTTGTCTTTGGAGAAGTTTCATTTGATATTATTTCTTACTGTAACTTTAGTTTTATTTTGTAATAAAATATTTTCAAATTATTTATGTCTGTGTGTAAATATTTATTAATTATTGGTACTAAAAGCAATAAATTGTTTCTTCTAGTTTGTTGTTATAGTTTATTTACCATTAAAACATTTTTTGAATCAAAAAGTTATTAAAAAATTCATTGTTCTGATGAACCATTGGTTCATCAGCCGTACCCATAACCATTATCAGGGTGTAAGTTCCAATGGAACACTACACAGTCTACACTTCCTTGTTAGGTCTCAGGTTGCGTTGTATTTGTATTGTTAAGAAAACTTGGTATTATCAATATTTCCAACAATGACATGTTTTTTTGAAAAACAATACAAAATATTAGGTTTTTAAATCAGCATACGTTTTATTCAATGAAAACCGTACACAGCACACAATTGAGTATACAAGGTGTCTCTTAGAGTGGCATGCATTTAGGAAAATATTAAGCAAGTTAAAATAAGACGAAAACCTAAACAAATATTTTTTTCTACTCCTATTATGGAATATGACCGTAAAACGTCATATGTTGGTCAAAATTTACGTCATTCTTACCAAAAATTATGACGTAAATAGTCACAGCCCAGGACGTCAATAGACGTGTTTTCACTACGTCACTGAACGTCATAATATTACCAGTTTAAGACCTCATTCAGAAAGCGAAACTGCATGCGAGATTTACATATTAAAGATACAATACATTAATTCATACATTTAAATGTATGTATTTTGGATACGCAAATCTCGCATACAGTATTCCCATCTGACAGAGGTGTAAGACGTCAAACATATACTAATAAGTGACGTCTTATTCAATTAAAATTATTAATAAAAAAAATATTTTTGTTTATAACATTTATTATAAAACTTTAAAAAAATTAACAACTAGTGTTTAAAATTAAAACTTAAAAAGATTTAAATGGTGGCCATAAAAGGTCTTGTTTCCTAGGAGTACCTATTCTAGAATTTTAGTAATAATTACGAAATAAAATAGCTGAAAAGTAAAAACCTGCAAAAACCATAACCTATCCCAGATAGCAAAATGTAGTCATGATGCGCGCACAGTGAGTGCACGCGTGCGTCTTTAAAGGGCACGCGTGCGCGTATATTACTACACAGATGCGCTTACATATGCGTCTCATATGCAGCGCACGTGTGCCGGCGCATTTAAAGCGCACTTGTGTCGACGCATTTCCAGCGCACATGAATGAATAAAAAAAGTTGTATATTTCAAAAGGAAATAACGACGGGTTTAATTCAAAATGGCACAAGCGCAAAATTTTCCGAAAAATTGTTAGAAGTACAGGTTGATAGAGAATTACATTTAATAAAAGAAAATTCCTCACCAAATATGGGCGTCTCAGCTCAACACAAGTTCACGCTTTTAATCGAAAATAATTATTCTGAGCCTGTAGAGCGAGAAAAAGGATGGTACAATTTTGGAAAACTTTTTATATGCTCATTTTTTGGGTACCCCATTTTGCCCCCCCCCCCCCCGCTGCCTTGTTTTGCCCCCTTTCACCTCCTGTCTGCTACCATAAAATTTGATGTTAATCATACTTTGACCTCGAATAACTCTAGAAGAAATCAAT